GACTCCCACATGGCCAATCATGGTTTGAGTCCCAGACCTGGCAGCTTGCTTTCTCACTTTCTCTCCTCTCTCTCTCTGTCTCGCTCTGATGAGCATATGTACCCTATAGCAAACTTTTAAAAATAATAATAATAATAATAAATAAAATAAATAATTCTGGGGGCCAGCAGGTAGTGTAGTGGTTAAAGCACTGGACTCCCACATAGTTTGACTCTCAGACCAGGCAGCTTGAAACTCATGCTGGGCACGTGTGTGTGTGTGCGCCCAGAATCCCAGTAGGAGAATGGAGGAGAAAGAATTATGGCATGGCCATATCCCGTGGGAATGATTTCTCACTTTCTATCTCTATATCCCTAGCAAGTGCATGCACCCTATAGCAAAAAATCCAAAAATAAATAAATATGTATTTTGGTTTTTAGAGAGATTTTTGCTATAGGGCAAGTGTACTCACCAGAGAGACAGAAAGAGACAGAGAGACATAAAGTGAGAAATTGCCCCTCATGGGGATGGCCACTACTCAATGCCTTCTCTTCCATTTCCCCCTCAGGATTTTGGGCACACACTTGCCCAGTGTGAGTTTTAAGCTGCTGGATCTGGGACTTGAACTGCGGTCTACCACATGAGAGTCCAGTGACATAACCATTATGCCATCTGCTGGTCCCGATAAATAATTTTTTTTAAAAAAAGGGGGGAAAACGGTATTACCAAGAGATCTATCATATAGTAACAACATAAAGAAATGCATAAAAATTATGTACAGGGCCAGAAGGTGGTGTAGTGGTGAACATACCGGACTCCCACATGACAAACCATGTTTCAAGTCCCAGACCCAGCGACTTGAAACTCACACCAGATGTGTGTGCATGCATGCCCAAGATCCCAGGAAGAGAATGGAGGAGAAGGGATTGTGGAATGGCCATCCTACCTGGGGGTGATTTCTCACGTTCCTTCTCACTGTCTCTCTCTGCCTCTCTCCAGTGAGTTCACATACCCCTTGGCAAAAAAAAAAAAAGAAACCTTAAAAATGAAAAAGATTTACAAATGTAAACCTCAGGATGTGGCTACTGGCAGGGGAGAAGACTCCTACGCACAGGGTACAGGGAGACTTCCCCGTGTTTATCAGGTGGCCAGCCTCTCTAACCTAGTTACTGATGGCATCCAGGGGAGAAGACTCCTACGCACAGGGTACAGGGAGACTTCCCCGTGTTTATCAGGTGGCCAGCCTCTCTAACCTAGTTACTGACGGCATCCCGCTGTTGCTGTGCTGGCAGGCCACGGGCCAGGGCCATGGCTCCCTTTACGAGCTCCTCGGCTGGGTCCACGCGCAAATGCGAGAAGGTCCTGCCCACCTTTGCCTCCTGGCCTACAGCAGGACTTCTGTGGAAGAGAACGGCTGGACTAGGGGAGATCTGTGACCACGACTGAATCCGGACCCCAGAAGTTCAGGGGGAGAAGGATAAGCAGCAGCACGTTTGCACGGAGGGCCTCTGCTCTTCGTAAACCGCAGTGAGGCAGCATTTCATCTTTACACAAGATGGGATGTTTGGTTTAGCCTATGTCACTAAAACAAGACTGGAGCCATCGATGGAGAGTTCAAGAGGCATTATCACATTCATCAAGCTTTTCTTTCCCATACCACTGTACATGTCATTAACACTGAATTCCACCACTCCAAAACCTGCTAGGCCTTCCTTCCTCCCCGCTCAGTAAATGCCACTTCCCTCCATCCACTTGCTCAAGTCAAAAGCAACTGATTCTTCCTCCTCCGGAAACATCCGACCTGCCAGCCAGCCCTGTCAGATCCTTCCAGCAATCAGGCCCAATGGTGGTGTGTACGGATGACACATGTACAAGCATCGGACAAAATTCGATTTCAAAATGTTTAATACTTACCCCTTTGCCCAATTTCCTCTGGTAGGTTTTATGCCGTAGTCCTAATCCCAACAACCCTGCACCAACAAGCAACCACAAAACTAAGAGAGAAAGGGGGAAAAAATTGTTTAAAAGAAACTCAATGAAAAACACACAGTTCTTAAACAATTATTTAGTCTATTGGGTAAGGATTTTGTCCAAAAGGGAAATATCTAATTCTTGGGTTAATTTCCATGTACGACATGCATACATAATCCACACTTTAAATCTAGGTTTCAAAAAAAGTCTTCCCTAAAATATACAAACACAAAAACAAACAAGTCTCCATGGCAAGGAACTAGCAGGAAAAACACCCTGCAGAACCAAGGCCACAGAGACTTTGGATATTGTAACTTTCAGAATTAGCATATCAAATAAATGTGCTTAACTTGTTTAGTAAAATAAAAGAGGGTATTCAAAAGTATGACTAAGGAAATAAGACTAAAATAAACGACCAGCGAAATTTTTAAAAAATGAAATAGACTTCTAGAAATAAAAAAGAATAATAAATATAATAATTGAAATTATAAACACAGTGGGCTGGATGGTGGTGGTGCAGTGGTAAAACAGAACATTCTACAAGACCAGTTCACATGGTAAGGTCAGCAGTATGTAGCCAGAGATCTTCCGAGTGTGTCAGGCACACACCTGCTTATCATCCAGTGCCGGCTGAGACGGGGTGGGTCACAACATTAAGACAGTGTCAGGGATGCTAACTCTCTCTCTCTTTCTTTCCCCCATCTTGGAATACATAAGCAAACGTTTTTTTAGTTTTTAGAGACTGTTGCTATAAGGCACATGTGCTCACTGGAGAGACAAAGAGAGGCACAGAGTCAGAAGGCGAGAAATCCCCCTCCAGAGGGAATGAATGCATTGCAATCCTTTCTTCTCTATTCTCTTCTTGGGATTCTGGTCATGCACACACACGTGTCTGATATGAGTTTCAAGCCACCAGGTCTGGGACTTGAACAGTGGTCAGCCATGTGGGAATCTAGTACCTTAACTACACCACCTGCTGGCCCCCATAAGTAAACTTTCAAAAAATTAGAAACTCAATAGACAAAATAAAGAGCAGATTAGACAAACCTGGAAAAAGAGAATTAGTGCAGGAGACAGCACACACACACACAGAGGTAGAAAATATGAAAGAGGATAAAGGACATGAGAACTGAACAAGAAGATCCAACACATGTCTAATTGGTGTCCAAAAAAGACCAGTGAGAAAGTGTAGAAAAGGAGCAATATTGGGACCAACAGGTGGCATGGTGGCTAAGGTGCTGGACACTCCCACATGACTGACCACAGTTTGAGTCCCGAACATGGTGACTTACTTTCTCACTTTCTCTCTCTCTCTCTCTCTCTCTCTCTCTCTCTTCTCTCTCTCTCTCTCTCTCTCTCTCTCTCTCTCTCTCTCTCATCAAATTAAAATAAATGAATGAAAAAATAAAATTAAAGAAAAAATACTTCTTAAAAAAAAAAGAAAAAGAAAAGGAGCAATATTTTCAAAAAATAATGCTGATAATTTTCCAGAATTAACAAAGACATAATTTTAGATAAAAAATTCCAAAGACTCCCAAGCAATATGGGGAAATAAAATCCACATCCAAGACCAGGCCCACAGTGCAATAATTAAGCACAGTGTGAGGGAACTGGATTCTCTGGTACAGAAAAAAAAAAAAAAAAAAAAAAAGCATCCACATCCAGATAAATCATAGTAAAACTGCAGGACACCAAAACAAAGAGAAAAATCTTAAGAGCTTCCAGAGAGAAAAGACAGATTATCTTCAAAGGAACAATAATCACACTGACAGCTGGCTTCTTAATCACAAAAGTAAAGCCAAATGACAGGAGAATAGTAATCTTTACTGTGTGGATAAATAGCCAACTACTAAGAGAACAGAAAGTGGAAGTACAATTTCCCCACTAGAAAAAGGAGTGGGGAGGAGGTATGCAGGAGACAAAGAATACGAAAACTTAATCAAAGCAAAAGAAATCAAGAGGGAAAAATGTCTAGAGAAAATGTGGGGAAAAAAGTAAGATGATGGAAATAAGTCATAATGCTTTAGAAATTACTAAAAATTTGGGACCAGCAGTTGGCATAATGGCATATGTCGCTGGACTCCTATGTAGTTGACTGCAGTTCAAGTCCCAGACCCGGTGGCTTAAATCTCATGCCGAGTGCGTGTGCGTGCATGCCCAAGATCCCCTGAGAGGAGAATGAAGGAGAAGGGATTGAGGCATGGCCATCCCCCTTGAGGGGGTGATTTCTCACTTTCTGTCTCTCTGTCTCTCTCTGTCTTTCTGGTGCGCACACGTGCCCTATAGCAAACAACCTCTCCCAAAAGAAAAGAAAAGAAGAGAAATGACAAAAAATTTATCAAACTCTCCAGGTAAAAGACCAAGATTGAAATTCTGGAAAAGATAAAATAATAGAAATGGTGGAAATATAAATAAATGAAAAGATCAGTGGTTGCCAAGGGCGGGGAGGAGGAAGGATGAAGAGGTGGAGCAGTGGGGAGGTTCAGGGCAGCGAAGCTATTCTGTATAATGCCGCGGCGATGAATTCACAGCCTTATGCATGGATCAAAACCCACAAAAAGCACTACATCAGAAGTAGCCCATGAAGGTTGGGCGCTGGAGATGTGTTTATGAGAAGTCTCTAATTACGACTGGGCCACTCTGGAGAGACATTTTTTTTTTATAAGAATTGTTGGTCGATCCTTTATTTATTTAAGGTTTGCTTATAGGGCACGTGTGTTCACCAGAGAGAGAGACAGGGAGAGAAAGAGAGAGAGAGAGAGAAATTGAGAAGTAAGCCACCAGGTCCAGGACTCAAACCATGGTCAGCCATGTGGTAGTCCAGTGCCCCATCCACCACGCCTCCTGCTGTCCCCTCTGGGGAGTGATTTTGATAGTGGAGGCAGCTATACGTAGGTGGAGGCAGGTATGTGGGAAATCTCTGTATCTTTCACTCAATTTTGTTACGAAGCTAAAGCAGCTCTAAAAACTTAAGTCTACTTTTACGTAAAAATCATTCAAAACTACTGGGTTGATCAGAAAAACCATGATGCATTTTTCACATAGAAAAACGTGAAAAAATATGCCCTGACTTTTCTGATGACCCAGTATTTAAACAACTCTGCTAGCGAGCGGTTCCAAATGCCTCGATTTGATGAGTGAATAAAGAATTCATTCATTTGTTTTTGTTTCTTAACCAAAAATAAGGGGTGGGAGGATCTTTAGGTTTAAAAAACGAAAATGCTGGGACTAGCAGATGGCTTAATGGCTATGTCGCTAGACTCGCACGTAGTTCACAGCAACTCAAGTCCCAGACCAGCGACTGAAAACTCATGCTGGGAGTGTGTGCGTGTGTGCCCGAGATCTGGAGAGGAGAATGGAGAAGGGATTGCAGCGTGGCCATCTTCCCTGGGGGGTGATTTCTCACTTTCTGTCTGTCTGTCTCTCTCTCGTCTCTCCAGCAAGCACACATGCCCTATAGAAAAAAATCTCTAAAAAAAAAATGCTAAATCCAGAGACATATCAAAACATAAGAATACAGACCAAAAAAACCACATCATTTTCATAAAAGAACTTCACCTTCCCTAAAATTAAATATGATCATTTCAAGTTATGATAAACATGCATGAAGAATTTTATGTAACTGTCTTATTGTTTTACTTTTTTTAAAAAAATTGAAAATTTACATAGCTTCTTGTTGTTTTCTATCTCTTTACACTAAATATTTTGTCTCCTTTAGCAACATGCAAGTCCTTGAAGATGGAGACCACTGTTTGCATGTCTTCATGTCTTACATCACAACTAACTGATGGAATATTTGCAAGTCGTATCCATTCAAATATTTTTATTTAATCCTTTCCATTTAAGACCAGTTAGATATTAAATAGTAAACTGAATTTTTAGTTTATCCACATTCTAAATGTTAACATACTGATCTCACAAAAAAAAAGGGAGGAAAAATAAAAGGAGTAACAGTCTCAACTCCTAGAACAAAGCATTTTGGAAATTCTACCTGTTAAAAGCACCTTACCCATGTTAGAAGTGAAATGAAACTAATACAGAATATTTATGGATGAAATGACACAATGTCAGGGACTAGTTTGAGAGTACTTCAACAAAAATAAAGAATAAAGATAGCTGTTAAAAACATCAGCAAACTGTTGGTAGTTATTGGACCTCTTTGATTTTATGTTTGAAAATTTATATGATCGATTTTTTTTATTTCTTTTTAAATTATTATTTAAAAAAAATACATAGTAAATTATTTGAAAAGAAAGTATAAATGGGCTGGCCCATTACCTAGTGGTTAAGGGAGCCAGATCCCACATGGCTGACCACAGTTTGAATCCCAACCCCAGTGGTTTGAAAAACATGCCGGGCAGGCCAGCAGGTGGTGTAGTGGTTCAGGTACTCGTAGACCACAGTTCAAGTCCCAGGCCTGGGGACTTGAAACACACCAGGTACATGTGTGTGCATGCCCAAAATCCTGAGAGAAGATTAGAGGACAAGGAATTGCAGCATGGTCATCCCCCCGGGGGTAATTTCTCACTTTCTGTGTCCTATAGCAAAAATCTCTCCAAAAGAAAAGTAGGGGTTAAGAAAACATGCCAGGTGTGTGCAAGCCCTAAGTCCCAACAAGATGGAGAAATGAAGGGTAAAGGGTTATGGCATGACCACTTCCCAGTAAGGGGGTACTTTCTCCCTCTCTCTCCCTCCCTGCTTCTTTGTCTCTCTCTGGCAAGTTCACATACCCTCTGGCAATTAAAAAAAAAAAGATTCTAAAAAAGGAAAGTAAAATTATACTTACAAAGTTTCATGTACTTTTCACTCTTTTTAAAAAGTGCTTTAGGACTGTTTTTTGTCTGCTGGAGGAAGTCAAGGTTCTTCTCCCGACCGAACAGCATATTCAGCCCGATAACCAGCATCATTGTCCCTGTTAGAAGAGGAAGGAAGAATGTAATACGGCTTACTCCTGAAATCCTCCCAGGGCAAATTCCCACTGAGCTATTGCTTCTAAATGAACATACCCTGACATTTTAGTTCATTTATCTAGTACCTACGTAACTACACTAGTCCTGTTTCCGGTAAGCAAGGTGACCATGGGGAATCAGGGCGGGCTCATGAGTCATGCTCTAAATGAGAGGACGCCAGCCCTCTCCTGGTGAGAGAGTTATTTGAATTTCTCAGGAGTTTTCTGTTGACTAGGACGGTGATGGTGTTCAGCACCCGCTGCTGACCGGACAGTGGACAGAGGAGCAGAGGAGAAAGGAACCTCCTGAGCTACGCTGGGACGCTCAGTCTTCTCCACTGAAGAGCTTTGACGCATTGACTAGCACATGTAGGTTCTTTTCTTTTCTTTCTTTTTCTTTTTTAGTTTTCTTTTTTTTTTTAATTTCTCATTTAAAAAATTATTCTAACTTTATTTATTTATTTTTAATTTTGATCAGAAAGGGACAGAGATAGAGAGAGAAAGTGAGAAAGGAAGCCACCAGGTCTGGGACTCAAACCACAGTCGGCCATGTGGGAGTCCATTACTCTTAACCACCGTGCCACCTGCTGGCCCCTTTTTTTAGTTTTCTATACAGTGTGTGCACTCTCCAGAGAGAGACAGAGAGAAAGGAAAAGTGGGAAAGCACTTCCTGAGGGAGACAGCCACTCAGCAATCCCTTCTCCTCCATTCTCTTCTCAGGCTTTTGGTCAGTCATGCACAAGCGCCTGGCATGATTTTTTAGGCTGCTGGGTCCAGGACTCAAACCGCACAGTCGGCCATGTGGGGGCCAGCGCTTTAATGTCCATGCCACCTGCCGGCCCTGCATGTTGTTGGTATGGCAGCTCTTGGGACAGTACTTCTGCCCTGGCCTGGAGGTACTCTGAGCACACAGTACTCAGAGAGGATGCACGACAGAACTCACAGGGCACTCGCAGGCCGGCCAATGAAGTGAGTTGCATGGGGATCACAACCGAGTAGCATGGAAACATGTAAAGTGCACACTCTGCTTTTTCTCTCTCTCTCTATTAAGAGATTTTTGCTATAGGGCGCGTGTGCTTGCCGGAGAGACAGAGACAGAATGCGAGAAATCACCGCCACCCCTTTTCCTCCATTCTCCCCTCAGGATTTCAGACACGCACACACGTGTACCAGTGTGAGTTTTTTTAAGCCACTGGGTCCGGAACTCGAACTGTGGTCAACCAGCTGGGAGTCCAGCAACATAACCATTATGCCATCAGCTGGTCCTACACCTTCTACAATCACACGTAAGGATGCAAATAAGCATATGGTATTATATGCAAATTAGCATACGCCAAGGGAAAGTGAGGCTTAGGTGGAAGGCTGGCCAGAAAGGTTCTATCCAATTTGCCAGGAAATAGCAGGAGGAACCTAGAAAATAAATTTCTAACCAGCTTCTGACATAACACAGATTCCCTTTCATTCGGTTGTGTTAACAACTGCTCTGAACACTACTGACGCTCCTCAGACACGTGGCCTCCTCAGTATGATGTCCCTTACTGAAAACAGCCCTCAGGGTCTCAGGAATGGCCACCATGCACCGTTTCCGCCAGCTGCGAGGCGTGAGAAGGACTCCCAAAAGCTCTTCTTCCCTCACATTCCGAAGAAACGAACGTAAGCACAGAACAGTTCTTACTCCCGTTCATTTTCTTCACACGGCAGCCCCTAAGCCAGCTGGAATAAGAAAAAAGCGGGGCACCAGCTGGGAAAATAGAGCAGGAACAGACACAGAGACCTGAAAGAAACCAGAAGAAATAGAAAGTTCGCGAAGCCGAGATCATCACAGACAAAATGCAGCCATGCAGCTCTTTAATTAGACAAGAGCTTGGCTCGTTACCCGAAATGCCTAACTCTCCAAAGTCGTTCCTAAAATACTTCATGCAAGTGAAAAGTGTATCTTGGGGGAACCAGCCGATAACATAGTGGTGACATTGCTGGACTCCCACAGAGTTGACCCTGGCCGGAGTCCCGAACTGGCGGCTTAAACTCACACCAGGAACGTGTGTGCGTGCCCAAAATCCCAGAGGAGAATGGAGGAGAAGGGATTGCGGCGTGGCCATCCCCCTGGGGGTGATTTCTCGCTTTCTGTCTCTCTGTCTTTCCAGTGAGTGCACGCACCCTATACTAGAAGTCGCTCCCTCAAAATTGATTTTATGTTTGAAAATTTATATGATCGATTTTTTTTATTTCTTTTTAAATTATTATTTAAAAAAAATACATAGTAAATTATTTGAAAAGAAAGTATAAATGGGCTGGCCCATTACCTAGTGGTTAAGGGAGCCAGATCCCACATGGCTGACCACAGTTTGAATCCCAACCCCAGTGGTTTGAAAAACATGCCGGGCAGGCCAGCAGGTGGTGTAGTGGTTCAGGTACTCGTAGACCACAGTTCAAGTCCCAGGCCTGGGGACTTGAAACACACCAGGTACATGTGTGTGCATGCCCAAAATCCTGAGAGAAGATTAGAGGACAAGGAATTGCAGCATGGTCATCCCCCCGGGGGTAATTTCTCACTTTCTGTGTCCTATAGCAAAAATCTCTCCAAAAGAAAAGTAGGGGTTAAGAAAACATGCCAGGTGTGTGCAAGCCCTAAGTCCCAACAAGATGGAGAAATGAAGGGTAAAGGGTTATGGCATGACCACTTCCCAGTAAGGGGGTACTTTCTCCCTCTCTCTCCCTCCCTGCTTCTTTGTCTCTCTCTGGCAAGTTCACATACCCTCTGGCAATTAAAAAAAAAAAGATTCTAAAAAAGGAAAGTAAAATTATACTTACAAAGTTTCATGTACTTTTCACTCTTTTTAAAAAGTGCTTTAGGACTGTTTTTTGTCTGCTGGAGGAAGTCAAGGTTCTTCTCCCGACCGAACAGCATATTCAGCCCGATAACCAGCATCATTGTCCCTGTTAGAAGAGGAAGGAAGAATGTAATACGGCTTACTCCTGAAATCCTCCCAGGGCAAATTCCCACTGAGCTATTGCTTCTAAATGAACATACCCTGACATTTTAGTTCATTTATCTAGTACCTACGTAACTACACTAGTCCTGTTTCCGGTAAGCAAGGTGACCATGGGGAATCAGGGCGGGCTCATGAGTCATGCTCTAAATGAGAGGACGCCAGCCCTCTCCTGGTGAGAGAGTTATTTGAATTTCTCAGGAGTTTTCTGTTGACTAGGACGGTGATGGTGTTCAGCACCCGCTGCTGACCGGACAGTGGACAGAGGAGCAGAGGAGAAAGGAACCTCCTGAGCTACGCTGGGACGCTCAGTCTTCTCCACTGAAGAGCTTTGACGCATTGACTAGCACATGTAGGTTCTTTTCTTTTCTTTCTTTTTCTTTTTTAGTTTTCTTTTTTTTTTTAATTTCTCATTTAAAAAATTATTCTAACTTTATTTATTTATTTTTAATTTTGATCAGAAAGGGACAGAGATAGAGAGAGAAAGTGAGAAAGGAAGCCACCAGGTCTGGGACTCAAACCACAGTCGGCCATGTGGGAGTCCATTACTCTTAACCACCGTGCCACCTGCTGGCCCCTTTTTTTAGTTTTCTATACAGTGTGTGCACTCTCCAGAGAGAGACAGAGAGAAAGGAAAAGTGGGAAAGCACTTCCTGAGGGAGACAGCCACTCAGCAATCCCTTCTCCTCCATTCTCTTCTCAGGCTTTTAGTCAGTCATGCACAAGCGCCTGGCATGATTTTTTAGGCTGCTGGGTCCAGGACTCAAACCGCACAGTCGGCCATGTGGGGGCCAGCGCTTTAATGTCCATGCCACCTGCCGGCCCTGCATGTTGTTGGTATGGCAGCTCTTGGGACAGTACTTCTGCCCTGGCCTGGAGGTACTCTGAGCACACAGTACTCAGAGAGGATGCACGACAGAACTCACAGGGCACTCGCAGGCCGGCCAATGAAGTGAGTTGCATGGGGATCACAACCGAGTAGCATGGAAACATGTAAAGTGCACACTCTGCTTTTTCTCTCTCTCTCTATTAAGAGATTTTTGCTATAGGGCGCGTGTGCTTGCCGGAGAGACAGAGACAGAATGCGAGAAATCACCGCCACCCCTTTTCCTCCATTCTCCCCTCAGGATTTCAGACACGCACACACGTGTACCAGTGTGAGTTTTTTTAAGCCACTGGGTCCGGAACTCGAACTGTGGTCAACCAGCTGGGAGTCCAGCAACATAACCATTATGCCATCAGCTGGTCCTACACCTTCTACAATCACACGTAAGGATGCAAATAAGCATATGGTATTATATGCAAATTAGCATACGCCAAGGGAAAGTGAGGCTTAGGTGGAAGGCTGGCCAGAAAGGTTCTATCCAATTTGCCAGGAAATAGCAGGAGGAACCTAGAAAATAAATTTCTAACCAGCTTCTGACATAACACAGATTCCCTTTCATTCGGTTGTGTTAACAACTGCTCTGAACACTACTGACGCTCCTCAGACACGTGGCCTCCTCAGTATGATGTCCCTTACTGAAAACAGCCCTCAGGGTCTCAGGAATGGCCACCATGCACCGTTTCCGCCAGCTGCGAGGCGTGAGAAGGACTCCCAAAAGCTCTTCTTCCCTCACATTCCGAAGAAACGAACGTAAGCACAGAACAGTTCTTACTCCCGTTCATTTTCTTCACACGGCAGCCCCTAAGCCAGCTGGAATAAGAAAAAAGCGGGGCACCAGCTGGGAAAATAGAGCAGGAACAGACACAGAGACCTGAAAGAAACCAGAAGAAATAGAAAGTTCGCGAAGCCGAGATCATCACAGACAAAATGCAGCCATGCAGCTCTTTAATTAGACAAGAGCTTGGCTCGTTACCCGAAATGCCTAACTCTCCAAAGTCGTTCCTAAAATACTTCATGCAAGTGAAAAGTGTATCTTCGGGGAACCAGCCGATAACATAGTGGTGACATTGCTGGACTCCCACAGAGTTGACCCTGGCCGGAGTCCCGAACTGGCGGCTTAAACTCACACCAGGAACGTGTGTGCGTGCCCAAAATCCCAGAGGAGAATGGAGGAGAAGGGATTGCGGCGTGGCCATCCCCCTGGGGGTGATTTCTCGCTTTCTGTCTCTCTGTCTTTCCAGTGAGTGCACGCACCCTATACTAGAAGTCGCTCCCTCAAAAAAAAAAAAAAATATATATATATATATTTACATTTATATCTGTGTTTATATTCACACACACACATATATGTATATGTGAAAATCTCAGAAGTGGCCTGTGCTGGCGGATCAAGGTCAGGAGAGGGAAGTTTACGTGAGACTATAGAGAACAGTGGGACGTACCCGGGGTCTACGCAAGTTCATGTAGCGTATTATGAAAAGACTATGCCTACATTTCCAAATTTTCACCGGAATAGACTGATACTTTAATGACATTTTATACTAAATTGTGGCGTCTCCTCGTGTGTCAGGGCACGAGAGGGAAGTGCATCTAAAGTCACGTGGACTCTGACACTTCTCCGGCCCAACGCTCACCCAGCTGTCATTGCTAAGGTATTTGATTCGCTGTGTGTGGCCTTTGCTCCGCTCTGCTAAAGCGCTGCGCGACAGGGACACTGGAACTTTCTGTTTTGTTCTGCTTTGCCATAGGGTGTATGCACTTGCCGGAGAAAGAGAGAGAAGAAGGGAGAGATCACCCCTCGGGGATGGCCAGGCCACAGTCCCCTCATCACTCTACTCTCAGGGTCTTGGGCACATACGCAAATGCGCCCACTGTGGTTTTCTTTTTTTTTAATTTTTTTATTTAACTTTATTCATTTATTTATTCATTTGTTTATTTCAATTTGACCAGAGAGGGACAGAGAGAGAGAGAGAGAAAGTGAAAAAGCAAACCACCAGGTCTGGGACTCGAACTGTGGTCAGCCATGTGGGAATCCAGCACCTTTAACCACCACGCCACCTGCCGGCTCTCCCACTGTGATTTTCAAGGAGCTAGGTCCAGGACTTGAACCTCACAGCCAGCCATGCAGGATCTAGAACCCTAACCTCCGTGCCACCTGCTGGCCCCTCTCTTTTTTCTTAAATTGGAGAAGTATTTGACATGTTTTCCTTACACTAAAATAGCATGCAACATTTGATTTAATTTGTATATGCCTGAAATGGAAAATATATCTATCCAATGGTTTGAAAATTTATCTTTTGTACTAAGATACTTATAAATAATACATTTTATTGATAAATATGGCAAAGAAAAATTATAGCTAAAATTCAAGCAAACTCAATCATAGTCCCTGTGTATATTTACGAATTTGTCATTGAAGTAGTGACATGGACATTATGATCTCATTTTTTACCACATGTCACATAAGTGTCACCCACTTTATAGTTTATTATGGCTTAAACTTTTTTCCACAACTTACTTATTTAAAAAGCCTTCATATTAATAAATATTACTGAAACGCACTAACGAATTAATAAATTTGGTTTTGATTTATAATTTAGATGTCTTTTTAGTTTCTGTTTTGTTTTGTTATCAAGACAGTCTATTTTACCAAGGAAGCAAAATTTCTTTTTTCTATTTATATCCACCAGTCATGTAAAGTCTAATTCCCATTCAGTCCTCAAGGATGTTTTTGAGCAGTTACTTTAATTCACACCTTTTATTTTATTTTTTTAAAGAATCATTTGTTTATTATTATTTTTTTAATTTGCTGCAGGGCCCACGCACTCACCAAAGAGAGAGAGAAAGTGAGAAAGCCATCAGGTCCGGGACTCAAACCACAGTAAGCCATGTGAGAGTCCAGCGACTTAACCACCACGCCACCTGCTGGCCTCCTAATTCAGACGCTTCATTCATACATGTACTCACCCATAAGCACATCCGATCTTTCTCTGGCATAGACACCTCCTGGGACGAACTTAAAAGCTGTGCACCACGCACAGAAAAACATGTCGAAAAGATAGAAGACCATGGCAGTGGCCATGACTTTCCCAGGGTTCGGCCCTGAACTGACAAGCTGTCCGAGCACTTGAGGCCACACGGATGCCGTGAAGACAGCCAGCACGCAGCCGGAAAGAGCAGCTGCCCACGTGGGCAGGTAGAGGAGACCCGCGGCCGAAGCCGCTCCTGTGTGTGAGAGACAGAGAAACGAGTCAGACAGGACAACGGTAACGCTTATGAGGTGACGAACTTGCAGTCACCCCCTAGGGGACGCGAGGGGTGTACTGGCCCAGGGTGCAGATGGGCCAGGAAACAAGGTCTAGCCAGGTGAATGTCCTTGCTCAGGGTCAGGCAGCAGGGCTGGCACAGACAGGGAAGGAAAGCAGGTCGGGTAAGTGTTAGCGCACTTTGGGAAGGGAAGCAGGCATTTTTTTAGGCCATTGGGATTAAGATCCTTGGGACCAGCAGTTAACGTAATGGCTATGTCGCTGGACTCCCATGTAGTCGACTGTGGTTCGCGTCCCGGACCCGGTGGCTTAAACTCACGCCGGGTGAGTGTGCGTGCGTGCCCAAGATCCCTAGAGGAGAATGGAGGAGAAGGGATTGCGGCGTGGCCATCCCCCCCGGGGGGTGATTTCTCGCTTTCTATCTCTCTCTGTCTGGCGAGCGCACGTGCCCTATAGCAAAAAACCTCTCCAAAAGAGAAAAAAAAAAGATTCTGACAACTGTAAAAATTGAAATGAAGGGCAGTAAAATGCCTCTCCTGCCTGGCTGACCCCTGCGGACAGACTCCAGGCTCACATGGGAGGCTTCCCTGACCAAGTGCATGGCTGCCCATGACCTGAGCTGGCCAGGGCTGGGACCGGGGCCGGGCCACGGGGGACCACAGCATTGCGGTCCTATCTTATTTTTCTGTCTTCTCTCTCTGTCTCACAGAAGAAATAAATAAGCTTGGAAAAAATAAATGAAATGAAAATTAAAAGTGAAATGATTTGTAACAAATCTGAAACTATGTCCACTAGATTTAACCAGTCAGGTACAGGACATGAGAAAACAGCATCAGTGTGGTTTCCAGAACTTTTTTGTCAAGAGACAGGGGCCAGCAGGTGGCACAGTGTTTAAGGTGCTGGACTGCCATATGGCCAACCGTGGTTTGAGTCCCAGACACGGTGGCTTCAAACACACCAGGCACATGTGAGCGTGTGCCCAAAATCCCAAGAGGAGAATGAAGGAAAGGGGATTGCAGCATGGCCATCCCCCCCAGTGAACACACATGCCCTATAGAAAGAAATCTCTCCCCAAAAAAGACTTTCTAAAGGAATCTCATGCCCCTGTTTGGTCAAGAACTCCAGAAAAGAAGTAGGGATTGGGGGGCAGCCAAGAGCCATCCAGGCAGTTCCTGAATGCCTGCTGGCTCTCAGCCACGGGCCTCCCCAGGGTGAAGCCGTGTGACCGCGGAGTCCTCCCCATCGCAAGCTCGGGGCTCAGACAAGCACAAGAACCAGACTCCAGGGACCTCTACGAACCACGTATTTCATCTCCACAGGGAGCCCCTTGAACACTCAGGTCCGACAAGGGTGGTTTTCCATTTCGAAATAGAACAACTGTAATGCCAGCTTGCTGCAGAAATTTCAAAACACCCGAACTGTGAGGAAGCCATTAAGGCTCCGCTAGGACTGAGAAGGCCACCGCCAATCCGTCCCTGCCCTTCTCCTAAGTCTCTCCCTGCGTGTGGTCACATGGAAACATTTTTACATAAATAGAACTGGGCCGCATATCGAGGACAATGCGCTGCTTTGGGGGTACTATATCAGGAACATTTTCTCATGTTATTACTTTTCTCGAAACATTTTTATGGGTGTCATACTTCCCTGGGTCAACATCCTGCAGTACACGTAACCATCTTCCTACTGTCGGCTGATTTTGACGCTTCCAACGTTAAACTTTTAAAATAGCAATGTGATGGGGGTTCGCAGGTGGCGTGGTGTTTACGGCGCTGGACTCCCACATGGCTGACAGTGGTTTGAGTCCCAGCTTGAAGATCACACCCAGTAAACGTGTGTACACACCCAAAGTCCCAGGAAGAGGGTGGAGGAGAAGGGATTGCAGCATGGCCATTCTGTCTGGGGGTGGTTTCTCGCTTTCCCTCTCTACGTCTCTCCAACCAGCACACGTTTGTATTTTTAAAAAAAAGAAAAGGAAAGAAAGAAAAAGAAAAATCAACATGATGAACGTCTTTCTGTGTCAATAAATCTACCCTATCGCCGTTTGTTCCTTAAAGTAGACTCTAGCACCACAATGACAGTGTCGAGGGCCAGAGCACTTTCGAGCCATTACTTGTGGCCTGTTGTTTTCTTGGAAGGCTATACCAGTCTTCACTTCCTACAGAAAACTGGCCAGACAGTCGCGACACCATATCTTTCTAACAGCTTTTAAACCCTGCCCGAATAATTTCTTTCTAAAAACTTTTACCAAATTCATGATAAAATGAGTATAGCATTTTAAATTGCTCGTATGTGACTATTAGTGAGATTAATTTTCCTAATAAACTGGTGTACAATGACTATATTTTTTTCTTCTTCTTTTTTTTTAAGAGACATTCTTGCTATAGGGCGCATGCACTCACTGGAGAGACAGAGTGAGACACAAACAGAAAGTGAGAAATCACTCCCTGGGGGAATGGCCACACCACAATCCCTTCTCCTCTTGGGATCTTGGGCACGCATGCACACACACCCGGCATGAGTTTTAAGCCACCGGGTCCAGGACTCGAACCACGATCGATTACATGGGAGTCCAGCGACATAGCCATTACGCTAACTGCTGGTCCCCACAATGACTATTTTTAAAAGGAGTTAGCGCCAGCTGGTAGCGTGGTGGCTAGGTGGACCCCACACGGCCATGCAGTTTCAGCCCCAGCCCCAGCAGCCCACACCGGGCACACGTGTATGCGTGTCCAAAATCCTGAAAGGGAGAAATGGAGGCGGGATCACATCGTGACCATCCCCATAGGGGTGCTTTCTCATGTTCTCCTTGTCTTTTTCTCCCTCTGGCAAGTATATGTGCCCTCTGGTAACTTAAAAAAAAAAAAAAAAAACAATGAGCCCTAATTTGGTATTCTAATCTGAAAATGCTAGAACAACTTTGTTGCTTTTATCTTACTTCAGGGAATTATGTGTACAGAAAGAAAACATCTCTTCAAGTTTCCCTTTATTGATTTTTAGTTTGTTTGTTTTTATCATAGGGAGTGTGCATTCCCCAGGAAGGGGAGAGACAGAGAAATACAGAGAAAGAGAAAATGAGAGACCACCCCTCGGGTGGGATGGCCGCACCGCAATCCGTTCTCCCTCTCCTCCCGGGATTTTGAGTACGCATGCACACGTATCCAGTGCGATTTTCAAGCTGCCAGGTCCGAGACTCGAACAGCAGTCAGCCGTGTGGGAGTCCCTTCACCTGCACACCGCTTGCTGGCCCCTCTTTGTACTATAGTTGCTTTTATTTTTTCCATTTAATTTCCACTTTTAAATAGATCCTATACTTTTAAATTCACTAAAATGTTATGTCTAATTAAGTTATGAATTCAAAATCTAAAATTCAAATGGTTCAGAGGGAACCTCCAACCTGTCACCCGCCAGATCCCTTTAGTGAAGACAACCAGTGAAGGCGCCTACCCTGTGTCCTCCCAGAGAGATGCTGCCCACACGAAGAAGCACATCTGTGTGTGTATCCCCCCTCTGGCTCCCCGTTGTTAGCACACCCTACGCAGTGATGTCACTTGGCTGGTCCACTTAACTGTGAGTCTTAACTGTTTTCATTCTGTTTGAAACTGAGCCTTTTAAAATAATCTCCTCTGGGGTCAGCAGGTGGCATGGTGGATAAGGGTGCTGGACTCCCACATGGCCCACCGTGGTTCATGTCCCAGACCTGGCAGCTTGCTTTCTCACTCTCTCTCTCTCTTTCTCTCTCTGCCCCTCTCTGGTCAAGTTAAAATAAATAAAGTTAAATAAAATAATTCTTTAAAAAAAAAATCTCTCCCAAATCTTTACAGCATTAAGACACTAGGTAGAATTAGTGGTAACTGAATATTCTAATAACATAATCACTGCTGTGCTCATTTGGATTTTTTTTTTTTTGAGAGGTTTTTGCTATAGGGCGCGTGCGCTCGCCATACAGACAGAGAAAGAGACAGAGAGACAGAAAGCGAGAAATCACCCCCCAACGGGGATGACCACGCCGTAATCCCTTCTCCTCCATTCTCCTCTCGGGATCTTGGGCATGCACGCGCACGCGCCCGGTGTGAGTTTAAGCCACCGGGTCCGGGACATGAACTGCGGTCGACTACATGGGAGTCCAGCGCCATAGCCATTACTGTTGGTCCTGCCTTTTTTTTTTTTTTTTAAAGAATTATTTATTTTTGGGGAGCCAGCAGTTAGCTTA